GCTCTTGTCGTTGCCGGGCGTGCCCGACGAATAAGTGGATGCCAGGGTGGAGCTGCATTCCTCGAGATACCATGGCTTGTAGCCGCCCTGGGTCGCGCTCGATATCGACAGTGTAAATATGCTGTTCGTGTAACCGTCGCAGTTGCACGAGTCGGTATGCCGACCGCCGTTACCCGACGCCCACACAAAAATCGAGCCCTTGCCTTTGCGTCCCTGCATGAGAGAAAAGAACATTGTCGCGAATGTGTTGATAACGAACAAATGGATCGCGCAATCCACGAAGCGATAGGATATTTGTATAGTTTGATAAGATAATAAAAAGAGCATAATTATATATAATAATGATATAATTATGTAACGTATAATAAAAATTTATAAGATATATATATATTTAAAAAATCATAATATAATAAGTTGTAAATTAAACGATAAAAAACATTTTTTTGATTGAGATTTTTATAATTAGAAATGCTTTATTTTTCTGCAAAATAAAATTAAACATGAGATAAATTTTGTGAAAACGATATTATTGCAGCCGTATTATTTTAATTAATAATTATTCCGAAAAATTAAAAATTAGATTCTTTCAAGTATATCATAGTATACGTAAAAAGTTATCTCGTGGCGTATTATTTAATTTGTGAAAAAATTACGAAAATTGTATTTTCAACAGAAAAAAAAGCAATTTATACCTATGCTCTTCACATGTTGAACGAATTATTTTCTGTAGGCGAATCAATAACACTTTTCAATCGAAAAAATAATTGGGTATGCAATTGAGAAAAGAAATTTATTTATATTCTCAAAATTGTTTCTGCAAATATTTATATTTCATGAAATAATACTCCGACTATTATCAATTTGACGTAAAAACGTAATCGTTCTCTGCAAAAATCTTCGCTTATAATATTGATAACTTTAGTTCACGCCATCGCGACATCAACGAAATGTTGGCAAAAAGAAGGTTGCCTCTAAATCGTCCCGAAGTAATGGAATAAAATGTCGAGGTGAAAGCTCGCGACAGAAAATAAATTGATCCCCTCGCTTCGTGGACGCACGATATATGTAGCTTACGCTCGTCACTCCGTAAATAAACGCCCTCCTGGCGAGCGGGCCCGGACCATCGACGGTCTTGCCGTCGTCCTCGGGACCCCAGGAGGCGCTGTATATGTCGATGTGATCAGGATTCAATCCCAGCGCTCTGGCCTCGACAGCGTCGTTTACCGGGCCATCGAGCATTCGCACGCCTGAGAACACGGGAGATATGTGCGTAAGTCTTCGTTCCCCCCTTTCTCTCTCGCCCTTCTCTCCATTTCGCGTGCCGTGATTTCAAATCACGGTAAGATCGTATATATATATATATATGTGTCTATGGATTGTTATCGATTTTAAGGATAATCGAGACGAGGAAGCGTTCGGAATACAAAGAAGAGGAAGATGCAGAATTATACATAATCTTTAATCCAGTATTAATTTAATTCTTAATTTTTAATTTGTGCAAAAATGTTCATTGCAAAAATGTAGAAAAAGATTTCGTATATCGTACACTGAAATATTACAAAAATAAGTTTGTCAAACAATGAGTATATTTATCATGTAAATCTCATTCAATTGCATCCGAAATCAAATTTATCGAGATATTATATCAGTAACCAGCAAATATTTTTATCGCGCTTTGATCTCTGTATAAAAGTATCTCGTTGACACGTGACAATCCTGATTACGACCACTATTACCGTCGTCGTGTCTCGCGACTCTGACGAAATTTCTCGCCCCCGTGCTATATCGGAATTTCTAATTTCGCTGCGCGACGCGTTTACACGACCATCAATTGCTCGAATTCAATACTGAAACATCGGGCTAACCCCCCCTCCCCCCGTATCGTTACGCGCTATCGTTTCCGCCCTGTTCCGCTCGTCGTAAGCCCCGACGGCTTGCGGACGTTCGTTTCGTTTCGAAGTGGGTTAACGGAATTAATACAGCTCGATAGCATCGAGAAACCGGGAATAGCGGCGAACGACCGGAAAACGTGGCCTATTCTTCAGCGGATCGAGACGATAAAGCGACCGCCAGCAGGTCTGACATTTCCAGCGGCCGCTGCACTATTTATTTCCGCGAAACGATTCGCGCTGGCTAAGTCAGCGCTGGAACGATCCCAGAAGGATTCGCTCTCACCTGATATAAAGTAAAGATAAATACCGCCTTCGAGAAACAACGAAATATCTCCTTACATTGCATTAACTGATTACTAACATTGACGAAAAACTATGAATGTAAAAAATTAATGACAATTCAAATAAACTACAAACTCCCCGTAGTTAATTTTTTTTTTTTTGGCAGGATGTTGTATCTCGCATATAATTTTTTGTAAATAACATTTTCAAAAGTATTCTTAATTATGAATATTATTTCATAATTAGTATCAAAGATAAAGGCTATTGATAGATATAATTTGCAACGCGTCTGGATGTTAGATAATGAACCTATACGTAAATATATCAATATTGAAAATATGCGGAAGGATATTGGATTTTCTATTAATTTGAATATTAAAAAAGTATTTTTCTATATCGCCAATTTTTACCCGTTAGTTGATGTGAGACGCGAGCACCTTCTTATCTCATCTGATATTAATATCCTTAGATAACAACTCTCGCACACACACACGCGCATCTTCTAAAATTTCCGTCAGGACATAAAATAACTCTACCATTCTAATCTAGCAAACGCAAGGAAAAGAAAATATTGATCTACCGTACGTTATCCCAACCGAAGCACTACTCAATTTTCATATTATCTGCACGATATGCGCGTTCTCTCTAATTTAGAATGAATATCCAATCTTCATATTATTCTAACAGCAATCCTGTATTAGCAATTCGTTATCTTTCTTTCTAGATTATAATCCGAGATTATAAGGAAAATTGGAAAATTGTTAATTAGGATTATAGTGCTAATCGTCATTGATGCAACCGGATTAAAACATATCGAAGAGTTAACGCGATCAGAAGAGGATCATTGGGAGAGAAGGTTATTTCATTTATAAATTTTATAAAATAGTCAGCAATATCTTTTTTAACTTTGAAAAATATTCATATTTTCCTACAATATATCAATAATCTCTTATAAATAATTTAATCTTCAATATAGAATAAACCGCCGAATTAATTTATTATAAACTTTCATCATTTATATCTGGATATGTGATAGTCTTTTTAAAGTAATCTCATTATTTTTCTTCCTTATTCGAAACTAATTTCTTTGATTATATTCATTAATATTAAAAATATCTTAGCCGTATTGTTGATGACATCTATAATTAAAAATTCCTAAATAAATAAAAATATTAATACGTTTTTAAAAACGGTCATCTCGATTTTCTCGTTGCAATTCCTCTTACCTCCGATACTGGCATTGTAGGCGACACCGACACCGCAATACTGGTTGAAGGCAACGGCGGCGACCTCGCCGGCGCATCGAGTGCCGTGCTTGTTGTCGCCATTATCCCTCGGCATCGGGTCGTCGTCGTTGTCGTTGATGTCCGTGCTGGCCTGGTGATCATAGTTGAGCGCCAGATCAGGATGGTTGGTTTGAATGCCGTCGTCTAGAATCGAAACGACGACACCCTTGCCGGTATAGCCTTTCTGCCAAGCCGGACCGAGATTCATGTCATACCCATCCTTGGCGCCGCCGTTCTACGAAAACGAAATGTCAAATTTAACTAACAATCACTGGAAATGGCATTATGACGGTTATATTCTTTTAAATATGAAGGTACTATGCAGAAATTTTTATTTATTTGTAAAAATCTATTATTAGGTTGAACGGAAAGTTCGTTCCGTTTTTTACTAAGAGATGAAGACTGAAAAAAAACGGCACGAACTACCCGTTCAACCCAATGCTATAACTTTGATCTCATTTGAAAGATAATTTAATTCTCTACAACTTTTGTTTCGGTACTTTTTGTTAAAAGACGCATATTTTCCCTGATATTTGTAAAAATGTAAAAAATAATCGTGATTTCAGAGGTTTTGGGATTAAACGGAAAGTTTGTTCCGTTTTTTACTAAGAGATAAAGACCGAAAAAACGGCACAAACTTTCCGTTCAACCCAATATAAAAATTTGTAAGACACTATTATATCAGGATCTATTCTAACAATAAGTTAAAAAATGATATATACATAAATATTTTAGAAATGTATAGAAGAGGAAAAAATACTGTTAAGATTAAGATATCTGTCTGAATCTATATAAAAAGATCTCTTACATAAAGAGCAAAAGCTTTTTTAATTAATTATATTTTAAATTATTATTCTCTAAAAAGTCCATATAAATATATATAATCTGTCTCTATTTCCAGATAAATTAATTTTGCATTCGATATCTAATATATATTGCATGATAGTTTTAAAATTAGAATTTCAAGATCAATTTTTTATTTTTTTATAATTTACAATTGCTTCAAACAATTCTGTTTGTTTGAATATGTATTTTATTGTATTTCTGTAAACGTAAAAATTCTGATATTGTATTGTGTGAAAAATATTTCTCACTTTTTAGCCAAAGATCATATGATGATGAATCGCGCGTCATGATGAACGCATGGAGCGGTACATGATTCTTTGACAGGAATTAATTCGCGAATTTCGTGTTGCCGCGTATGTGATCGTTGATTGATATTCTAGTAATCCATTAATCCGCAATGTAACGCTATACATCTTCACATGCATGTATACGATTTCGTGGATTAATGGATTACTAGCCGCACGACAAATTCGGACGCTACAACTTTCATAGCGTGATATGCATTATACTAGGAGACAAGATAGCGGACGTCTTCAACATGCCATTTTTCTGTTTCGTGGAACATCGTGCAATATTTTTTTTTTTCCTTTCAATATGCATTTGCCGATAAAAAAAGTAATATATATTGTGTACGATAATGTATAAAATTGATATAGTCATGCTATATATAATCGCAAAAAGGGATTAATACCAGTTTCGAAAAGCAATAATTTATATCTGGGATTTTTCAACCGCCAAATATTATACATATATTGCGACTCAGATAAAAATATCGACCGCGTTAAAATTCCATACAAATTTTGACAGAGTTATTAGCTTTCCCGACATTGGTGGCCACCTAAAGTTATATCGGGGCGGAAAAAATATATGCGAGACACGACCGCCGGACGATTCGAGTCACGTGATTTGTATCCTCTAACAAACGTCCGTTTTATGCATTTATAATAGATTGATTATTGCTTCGGCTATACGAGCGGTGTTTTGCATTTTGCGCCATGAATTTGCGTAATAAATGTACGGTATGGAAATACGCGAATGCTTCGCACGTGTTTTCACGGTAAACGTGCGAGTTCGCGTATGATCATGTCTGGAATCACGGCGAAAAAATTCGCGACAGCGACGCGATAAATTCGTGCGTGCATAGAATGATTATTTGTGCGGCTCTCGTAAATGAACCATTAGAAGAGATAGGCAATCAAGAATCGTAAGAGAGCACGACAAACATATCAATGCCAGATAAATTGAATAATTTACCATTTTAATTGATATGAAAAATACTTGTATATTTTTGTTGCAGTTAAAAAATAATAACGGTATATGAATAAAATAATGACTATAGTCAGAGAAATAATGAGTCTACAATTACATATATCAGCTTCCAAAGCTTAAAGTTTGAAAGTAATCCAGGCTTCTGCAGTAAAAAAAGAAAAACGACATCTTAGGATTAATTCTCTTTAAAGGGCATATTTTATATTCCGCACAATTTTTACAAAAAAATGATGTTATAAAAAATTGCACAATGTGCAAAAATCCGAGAGCCAGTTCTGATTATGCACACGTGAAATTGCGCGTTTTTGTCCTTTCACAGAGAATAATCTAGAACTCGTATCTTCCGATGGGAACGCGCATCCAGCGTTTCCGTTTTCTACATGTGCATGAATGTACGCGAGTAGAGTGAAATACTTTTGCGGAGTGCATCGCAAAGCACAAAAACACACGATGCTGTTCTCTAATCTCTATGACTACCAGTGTTATTCCGCAGGATATCAAAAAGAGGTAGAATAGCTACATAAAATGTATGACTCGTGCGCTACACACACACACACACACAAAGTTTAAAATTTATTTTATAAAAATCCTGTTTATTTGTTTCGAAAAATTCTTCTGCGCAATGCGTGTGTGTATGCAATTGTTATATTTATTACAAAATCAAATATATATACATTTTATATATCTAATTATATATATATATGTAATAATAAGTAGCTTATAAGATAAATAAGATAACTACAAATTAAAAAATCAAGTTTTTACTTGCATCTTTCTCTAAACTTGCATATATGTATAAATATAAGTTCTCTTAAGGCGACAAAAATTTAGAACATTTGAAAAAATGTATCGATCGATTTAATTAGCGATATCCGCGAACGAATAATTCGTAAATTCTCAGAGAATTTTTTTTTCAACAATAGCAAATAAAAAAAATATATACCTTTGGAACTTTAAAATAAAAAATGTATTTTTTCATACGAAATCAAGAAATACCGCGAGCAATTTGCAATTCAAAAAACTTTAATTTGAGGAAAATATTCTCTCGAAATCTAATGTGTCGAGCTCGTTTCAAACTATCGTACACGCAGAGCGCATGTAAAGGAACACGTTTTCCTTGATTCGGCTCTTGTACGTTACGCCCGTAGCTTGTCGAGATCAGAGGACGAGGCGGACGCGTGTTCTTGTCGCAGAGAGAACATCATGTCGCAACGGGGAATGTGCCAATCTCCGCGTCGATGCACCTTTCCCGGCTGCTGCCGCTTTTTTACTCGTCCATTTCGAGCCGGGCGCGCCGCATGACGGTATCCGGGGCTCCGTTTCCCCTGCGATTCCATTAACTAGATTGCGCATTGTCGTACTCGCCCGAGAGGAAGGCCGGAGGCACCGATGCATGTCCCCCGTCGTTCGTGTCAGCGCTTATCTGCGCTGAGATTTCGGCATTGCGAGAGCACGAGAGAGAGAAGGAGCGAGGGAGTGAGGAGAAAGCGAGCGAATAGTCGAGAGCGCTATGTGCAACGAGAATGCAACGGGATCAGAAGAGTTCGATAGCTCAAAGAAAAGGAGAAGGAGGAACCCGTCACCGAAGGGAAAGAATTACCGAGCTTTTCGCTGTAGCTATCGTGCACTTTACCTCGTTGATACGACGGGGAACCCTCAACGTTGAACTCGGTACACGACTATCGTTAGTGTTTGATGGAAGACTCTTAATCTTATTTCTCATTTTGCTCTAATGAAAATTTTTCGAGGAAATCGTGTTTGATACTTTTCGCGCGATAATGGTAAAAAATAAATGTTGTGTATCGAGAGTATTATGCATCGCTTATATGCACGAATCACATATCAAGAATTGCTAATATATGACTTATAAAATTTTGAAGTTATATATGTATAGTTAAAAAAAAAAAAAAAACTGTTGAGAGTCAAGAAACGCAGATAATTATTTAGCTTCTCAATAATTTTTTTGTTATAACATTATTTAGACGCGCAATTAAGAACATTTTACGTAATAATATAATCAAAAATTGATATTTCATCCATTGTAATTCATCGATTGTAATTTCATCCATGAAATCACAGAAATGAATGAAATCAGTTCTGTGATATTGTTCTGTGATTTCACCCATGAAATTCCTCGGCGATTTAAATCAATTTGTTTTTGAGATTCAATAATAATTTATAAACTGTTTAATACGCACAAAACGTACATTTATTAATCTCCTTCTAATTATAAATTAAGTAATAAAATTAATTTTTAATCGTATATTTAAGAGCATAAAAAATGTATTGCAGAAGAGATTTCGGAAGTTTCATATCTCCAACAAAGTAAATTTTCGTATTATATTATCTGCTCTATCTTTTATGAGAGATATACAATCGCTTCATAGAAAAAACGAGAAGATCCCTGATTGTGCCTCGCTCTTCTATACGATACGCGCGCATCGTAGATCCCTCGGCTGCTTCTTCCTCTCGGACGAGTCGACGCGAGCAAAATTATCCAGCAAGAAACGCCAAATTTACGGGCGCCGCGCATAAGAGCGCCGTAATCCCGTCAGCGCAGTGCGAAGGGCGTACGGGATGGGCTCGTGCACACATTGTGGGCGCATATTGTGCCCGGGGAAGACAATATATATACGACCTATTGTCTCAGGCGACGCGTGCGGTCGACCCTGCAAAAAGAGGGCAAAAAAACCCGGGAACGACCTGGGGTTACTTCGCTGACCCCAGCGTCTTCCATGACCCGACAAAAGCGATCCCTCCCCCATCCTCGTCACGTCCAGACGAAATGTCGTTCCCACGTCATGATCATAGACACAAGAATGTAACAGACGAAGCATGGTTTCTCTATTTAGAGGCACGGAGTTGACAAAAAAGCTTATTAAAAACGAAACTCGATTCTGGATCATTATTCTCTCTTCTTCGTCGAGTTGCGATTTTTTTTAAAAAGAGCAACTAGACAAATTATAAAATAATTTGTTAGACAAAGCATCTAGAATCGAAACTAGAAGACAGTAATATTAAAAATTCACTTCTATAAAAGAGCACAAGCTTTATATTTTATGTGATCTCTTAGATTAAAAAATGTATCTATTTTTTTTTTCTTCGAATGTTTCGTCTATTTTTTTCCTCTTGATAATGCTGTGCATGGTATTATAATTTTATGCAAAGTATGAAGATGAGCATAAAAAAATCTTGAATGATATTCTCATATACTAGAGACGTTGGCTGTAAGTCTGAATATCGGATTCCATTTATTCTGACCTCGTTTTTCCATTGTCACAAGCACATATCGTCTATTTGAATGAAAAAATGAAACGCTGTCATTTAAAAAGATGATCATCCCCAAGAGCAATGCTAAATTTAAAAAAGCAACATTTAACAATCCCGTTTGTGCAGATATGTAGCGATGAATAATCAATATGGAATAACATTAATTAATTCATACGTTAGCAGAGAATTTAAAATTCTATCATTTATTAATTCTCTTGCAAATATTTCTATATCAATCCTTATTTTCAGATGTCAGATTCACCAGAGTATCGATACCGATACGGAGTATCAGAGCTGATTCCTCAGCTTACGTAAACCCTGGTTTCCTATCGCTCCCCGGGCGACGCTCCGGGCGTGTCACGAATATTACACACCCCGTGCTTTTATCCCGCAATAGTGGTTTCCGCGCCTGAGAGTATCGGCATACTTGGGCATCACCCTCTGTAAATAAAAGGTCTCAGGTATCGGACTCTGCTCGATCTGCTCAAGTTTCATACCGCGCGTTATCACGTCCATTACGCAAGATCGCAATCTCACGTTCCTGCCATTCTCGAGAGCAAAAAATATTTTTATAAACGCGCAAAATTAATTTATCTTTATATTGAATCGTATTTTTATTTTTTATTTATTTCTTAGATCGATAGAAAATTATATATATTTTTGCTCATTTTTAATCTTGTTCGCAGTTAATATTGATTAACTCTTATATAAAACTGCAGAAAAAAATACAGAGTATATCTTAGATTTCCAGTACTTTCTTTCATTTGTCGATTCTTTAATTAATTTTGATTGTTTGTTCCTGAGAATGTATGTGTAAAATTTTTTGCACTATCTTTTTTCATAATTCTTTCGTCATTTAACTTTAAATAACATTATAATTAAACCTAAAATTAACTTGAGATTAAATAAAGAACTAGATTTCGCGCAAACGATTAAAGACCAAAGTAATTAATCAATTTAAGCGATTATCTGTAGCATTCGCAAGAACAAGTAATCGGCATGTTCCTTGCGTTCGCCAATAAAAGTAGCCGAAGAGTTAGGAGCGGGACACTCAATATAATCGAGAACTCGGCGAAGAAACTTAGGCCGGGACGCCGCGCTGGCGAGACGTGCTCACGAGACAGAAAAGTTTCCAACGGATCAGGCGGAATCTGCCAAAAGCTAGTTTGCTCGCTTCCGTTGTTCTCGCCACTGCCGTTCCGGATGGCACGCGGCTGCACGCTATAAACCGCTTACAAGACTAAGAAAACATACGCACGGCACAACGGTTCCATTAAGACCCGCTGATCGTGCGAGAACTAAATACAAAGTCCGGACGTGCGATGCACTTGGCGCGCTAAGTGAGGAGATTTACTGATCTTCGAAAAAAAATCCCAATTCCTCGTAATTATTAATTATTATCGAATTAATTTATAGAAAATATTCGTTATTTAAACAAATATGATAAAACACGTATTAAATGGTTGATAATAGAATCGAGCCGATAGGCTTAATTTGCTCCTACAATTGTGACTTTTTACACAATGTTAAAAAATGATTTTATCTGGCATCTGAAAAAATCGTACTTATTAATTCCGTTTCAATTATCTTTCATTATTAAATATTATTACAAATATCTCTTTGTTTTACTTCTACTCTTAAGATAATCCCGTATATGTTAATACTAAAAAAGAGAAAAAAAGTTAACTCTTAATAACAAAATTTTATCAATAAAAATACAATCTATAACATTTAAAAATTATTTGTCTGTTTAAATTACAGAGTTTTGAATTGCTTTTATAAATATCGATTGAAGATACTGAAAATTTTTCATATCATTGGAAAAATGATGTAAAAAAAATCTCTGATAGCTTTTATAAATTATAATACCTTTTATATTGGAAATAGAGAGAGGCCAAGAAAAATCATTTTTATTTTATAATTTAATTATAGATAACATAATAGAGTTAAATATGATTTTCACTAGAGCGCTTTAACGGTTAAATAAGGAAACACTTTAAATCTAGTGTGCTGAATGTGTGCTAGAACGATTAATATACGGGTTAATTTGGAGCGATTAAACCATGCGACCGAACAAATGACAGAATAGGCAAAGCGAAAGAGGTTTTAAACGCCAAGCGCATTATTCTCGATAATCTCGGACCGGGCCGTTAATCGATTCAACGGCTCCCGTTCAATAAGATCGCATTAGTTGCGACTGATAATGATCGGATAACAAACAAGTTGATTGACTGTTTGTACAAAACCCAAGTAATTACCCTAATAATTGTTTGTACACCCGCGATTATGCGATGGTACTTTGTGCGGGATATTTACTTTGTTTTAAGTGTTCATCGAGCCCTGTAATGCAAAGCTATATTACGTGTTACATCTCGTGTTACAAAATACACTATAATTGGTCGAATCTACAATTAATAAATTATAAATTATACGCGATCTTTCTCTCTACGTCGAGATGCTGAAATATTTATAATCTTTCTTTATGTATCAACGCCGTCAAAATTAAATGAATAATTGCGACTAGAGATGTTATAATAATCGAGGATGATTGACGATGTTCTCGTTAGAGTTAGATAAAAAATGATGTAAAAAAATATCGAAATATTATTATTGATTTTATCATTACGTTAAAAGAAATAATTAAATATTTACATGTGCGCTGAGAAATCGTAATATATCGTCAATTATAATTTTTAATCGACGGGAACAATGCAATATAATATTATATATATATTTCTTTTATCACGTACAGATGCCGAGAAATATGAGTATAATGTAAATTTCTCCGAACTGACATCATCGATGGACTCTTTTCAAGAAGGGAGAAGAAATAATCGGAAATGTTGAACGGCTTCGATGCCTCGCGCGATTCGTTCAATTCCCGTCACGTATCCCGTCGCGGCGGTTCGTACAGTTAGAGTCCGTACTTACCAGGTACCACTGTTCCTTGAAGAGCGGGTCCGTGAACAGGTTTTGAAGCGGCAAGCCTCTGTTTCTTTGGCGATGAAACACGGTAGCCTGACGCGGACGCGGACGCGGACCGAAGTCGCTGAAGAAGGGCGGATAATCGGCGAACGCGTAGGACGCGGCGCCAAAGTCGCGCTTCTTGCGCCTCTTCTCATGTTGCTGCTGGAACCAGTGCACCTGCAACCGAAAGCATAATCGGGTCTGTAACAATAAGTTTTCTTGCACCGCCTGTGATCGACTCCGACGACTTTGTCATCGCATTACAAACTTGGATAACTTGGTAAACTGACCCGAGGCCATTAGCCGTCGTTTTGTTATCTCACGATGTTACACTAAGTTCCACGCGACATTACAAGGTAATGTAAACCGGTAACACCGCAAATTTTCCTAAGTGCCCGGAATATGTCATCAGCGTCGTCAGAGTCGGTTTTGTTGGTCGACGAAATATGGCTCGCGCTAATGATGTAGACGAATTACAGTAGACAAGTTATCTCAACAATGAAAGACATTTTAATGCCTTTGCAGAATTATTAAAATTTTATTGCAATTTTAAATATGAGAGAGAGAGAGAGAGAAAATGTTATAAGTTGAATTTATAATTATACATATATCGCTACAATATAAATTTCTCAGACAATATTCAGACAATATTTAGAAAAATATTAAAGAGATTAAAAAAAGGCATTTACCATTGATATTTATGCGTTAGATCCATCCCATGTTTATTTATATTATCAAAATTATAAAAATATGAAAAGATCCATAATTCATGTATTTATTTAATATTTAATAATTATAATAATTTATTTAATAATTTAAATATATATTATTTTTATTATTTTTATATATATTAGTGTTATTTAGTCGAGATTGGTAAAAAACAGAGAGACTTGAGAAAGAAAGAAATACAATTTTATCTCTCTTTTTTTTTATTTTTAAGAAACAACATAAAACAGAAAACATCATGAAACTAGTCATAGCACACAATCGCAGTTTTTCATTCCGTTGATTGGTTAAACAGTTATATACACCGGTGCTGTGACGCGGAAAATTCACCGGTGCAGATTGACTCAATTAAAGATTATAAATCGCGCAATCATCGAAAAACGCTTCGGGGAACGAGCTTTAATTCTGACGCGCGTTGCGTTCTCCTCTCGTTTCATTCATATTGCCATACCAGACACGCAATGCGATTCAGTATCACTGACAGATTCATTGGTACTTGCGCAATTTTGGCGAGATGCCAGAATCAACCGAATTAGTTTCACGGTCGTATCGAAGTAGCGGGTATAGGAATTTTAAAATATTCGGAACAACACGATGAGTGTAAGAAAGAACATATGTTGTCCTACATCGATTATTGAACATGCTAAAATTAAACGATTATGGCAGTCTCGTGTAGTAAAATAGTAACAGGTGTTGCTATCTCCTCTTATGAATTATAAACAGTTTTGTAAATAGGAAAAAAATATATAAAAAGTAGAGTTCGTAAAAAATAAAAACTTCCATCACATCATCCATTTTTAAGTAAGACTGATGTATCATATATATTGAACGTTCTAATTTATGTCACTGGTATTTATAAATATTTATTGCTTCAAAAATAATAAATTAAATATTAAACATATTTTATAACAAGAAATCTATAAGCGACACTGCTTTTATTATCGGATTCTAATTAATATGTGCCAGCATAGAATAATATTAAAAAATTGAAAAATATTAATAAATTTGAAAAATAAATTTAAAATGATTTTAATCTTATTATACGAGTTATATTTGTCAAACATATCCACATTATATGATAGTTTAACCAAATAAATTATCGAATCATTTATTATTCAGGTATTAAAATTGTTTTATTAAACATGAAATGTCAAATTTCTTTGTAAGAAATTAAACCGAATTTTCTTCTGACATAAATCACTGAGGAATATCGCGGTGAAATTAATAGAGAAATATCTAATAAAACTTATATATTATCTGAACTTTCAACTTCCAAATTTAAATAGTCTGTTTGATAGGGAAAGTTGTGAAATCGAAAGTGAAAATACGAACGCGAAGAATCCTTTATTTATTTCCTTCCAAATCTGCGATTTTGTAATATTTTATATATACGTAATAAAAAAAGAAATTAAAAGAAGAAATGGTCTCTATATAAAATTCGTTCGTTCATCATGAGCTGCGTGATATTTATAAATATGTTAAGTAAGTAAAAATAAAACGTCGCTCTCTTATTTTTTTTTTTTTAACGAACAATTAAGCGGTTAATTAAGCGTGCTGCACAATTAATAAGCAGCCAGTCATGATCGCTGGGGGGAAACGAGAGAGATTTCCCGGTCACGTATCCGTGGCTTCGCCAGCAATAAATCTCAACGATCTCTGAGCGCAACGCGAGTTCGGAAAAAAATGTATCTCTCGCGCGGAAGTTACCTCCGCACATCCGCCCCGTGCAAATGGCATTTTCCTCGCGATCACGTGCTCTCCGAGCGTAGCTCATGATTAATGCTATATCGTGTCCCCTGCGTGCATGTGAAGAACTGCATTACTTTCTCTCTCTCTCTTTTTTTTCAACGCGATATTTTTCCGACCATTTCGCCTGCCTTCCTTCCACCCCGCAATTTTCATCCACGTTGAGGAGAAGCTTATCGAGACGAGGACAATGGCGGAAAACGCGGCGACGACAATATTGTCTCTCGAAACAGTGAGATATTTTGCCACGTCCTCGTGAGAGCAAGGACGACAAGGCTTCTCTGGGAGTGCACTTAAAGCGTCCACCAGGTATTTCCCGTGCGAATACTAAGGTGAAATTATAGTGAAAAATTCGAAAAATCCACAGGTACTATGCAATTTCATAAATTATTTTATGATTTTATAATAGATTTATATGTTTTATTGTCGTGGATAATATAACAATTTTTAAGCGAATCGCGCATATACTACTTCTTTGCGTGTGTACGTGCACACAGACATACACAAAAGGATAATATTAACAAAAAATTATTAAATTAAAATATACTGTTAAAAATAAAATATTCTCTCTCTCTTCCTTTTTCACTAAATTATAAAACAAGTTTTTGTTTCTAGATGTTTTAACAGCACGTTGAAATTTAACGTTTGTCATAACAATAAAATTTAGATCAGAGCCAAACAAAGAATACATTTATAGTCAATCAAAAAAGGAAGAAATATTTTGCAATCTTTTGTGAGATGTACCGCTGAATATTCTCGCAGCGACACAGAATATTCAGCGATAGAAAACTGCATGTAAAATGGAAAATAACTTTTTAAAAGCACAAGGGACTACATACCGAGAAAAAAACGATACTTTTATGACGGGACTGTTTAAACAACACTGCATAGGTTTTTCTCAAAATATTCCATCACTGAACTCGCTTTTCCTAGCATCGATTCTATCAATTTTTTTCAATGTCGTTCCAAAAATGGAAAAAGAATTGTTTAGTGAGATTAAATAACGCGATCAAAATAACTATTAAAGCAATCAAATTAATATTTTCAAAAAAGGGTCTTTAACTTGATTTAGAACTGATTGTGAGTAAGAAATCTTAACAGATTTCACAGATCTGACAATAAGATAAATCTATACCGTAATTCTCAAACACGTCAATTGCGTTCTACTCTTATAAGTATAAAGCAATATACCCTCGTACTCGTATGCGTTTGATAATATGTGCCTTTAAATTAGCGGAGTACGAGAATGCGTCGACTTACCCGCGGTTCATCCCTGAGCGCCTTATGATGCAGTTCGCTCACAGTGAGAGATCTCTTGTGCAGTCGCTTGTGAGAGAGGAGGTAATAATTCTTCAGGGCACCGATCTGAAATCAAAAAATAAAGCATTCTTATTATCTCTGATTCGAATGCGGTTTGAGATGGTAAGCAGCCGTCGCGCGGACATAAACACAAGATGGCAAGAGAAAACTCGCAAGTTTCCCTCTTGCGACTCTTGGATTGCGTTTCGATCGTCTTGCGACTCGATATCGTTTCGACTCAAGTTTGGCAGTAACTTCCCCAAAGTGCCGTTCCTGAATTATATGGCGAAACTTGATAAATCCCGTTGACATTCATCGCCATGTTTTTCGCAGACGATAAATGTTCGTTAACGCTTTCACGCATGATATAGAGAGATATAATAATCTTTAGCAGGCACACAAAGGTGATTTGCTTTATCCTTTCAAAAATTTTTCTCGAATTTTAATAGTGATCAACATAAAGCGATAATATGTTAAATTGACACAAATTCCATTATAAATTAAAATTCCATTAAAAATTATGTATCATAATTTTTAAATAATATTGCATATTACGAGATTATTGTCAATACAAAATATTATTTACTATGTAGAGTTTTGGCCGAAGTACTGAGTGTGTACGCGATTGATTTCATCAAGTTTAATAATATTAAACATGAATTTTCAATTTTCATTAGAACAATAAATATGCCAAGAATTCAACGGCGTCGATTGTGCCGATTTTTGCCAGCTGTTGACATTGGCTGTTGACAGCTTTAGCATCAAAGGCTTCTATTCTTGGATTTAACAGTCAGGAAGTTGTTAAATCCAAAATCAACATTAACGAACGACATGCATGCGATATTGACTGCAATTTTGGAAGTTTAACGCGATCCAGAGAGATAATTGACAGCTTATTGGACGCCGGACGGTTATAATTATGTCTATATGTACGCACCACACGAATAGAGTAGCGTTTCAGTTTGGCGGTCGACGAAAATAATTGTCGATAATTCTAGGTGCAGCGTGAGCCACGCTCCAATAACGCTAGTACACATATACACACACATATCGAAAATAACTAATAAACTATTCCGATCGGCGATCTGATATTTGGACATCGTGAACCATAATTAAATCAACGGATATTTTCCCAAAATTAGCTTTAGAGTAAAATCAGAGAATGGTAGAACCGACGATGTCAATCGTTTTATTATTTTCATCTATCCGATATACTATTATTGCTGTGAAAAACTAAAAACACAGACATACACACACTATCTCTCTTCTCTTACATATTTAGAAAATCACCCCTCTCACATTCTGTGCATACATTTTTATATATAAATTTCTTATATATATATATATATATTTTTCAGAGAAGACTTTAATTTGCTTCTTAAATTAAGGAATTGAATTTAAAAAGATTTAAGTAAACAAAAAGACTAGTCGATATTGCTCCAATATTGCTGTTCTATTTTATTAGAATCTTTTTTTCAGCATTAAATAAATCGTATGTGAGAGTGCATTATGCAAACAAGGGCACATATCGGCGCGTGTCCATGATTTACTGGCGCACGACTCTCACATTACTTTGATATTCTCCGACACTTGGAGAAGAAGTCGTAGAGGAACCTGGCTCCCGAAACGGCGCAACTTCCGCCCGTGGGATTTTCCTAGGGGGAACGAAAATCGAGCAAAACTGCATCGCGCCGCGAAGTAGAATCACTTTCCGAAGCTGTTTTTGCGCCGCCGATGCTTTACACGTGTCGCCTACTTGAAATTCTTCCGCGGTGCACCTACCTCCGGAGCCGCGGCTCGAAAATTGAAGAGCAACCCACGAAGAACTCTGGTGCAACTCGTAAGAAAAAAAAAAGCAAGCGCGTGCTTTATTTTGCCATCGAGAGCTTTATCCGAAATTTTCGCGGCGAGCTCGAGACAACTATCTCGACCCTCTTCCGGACTTCTCGAAAATCTAAGTAGCCGAAGAGTGGCAAAGTGCATCACTTGCTCCTCTCAATCTCGAGTTATCTTTCGTGTGAAAGAGAATTACTTGCCCTAGTTCTTCCACTTTTGCCACTTTTATCTCTTTAGAAGCACACACACACACACACACACACACACATACAACATTGTATATATTTGATGTGAGTTTATTTAATTTCGATCTAATCTCTTGCATCCCTTGCAATAAAATCATAAAATGAAAAAGTGATACAAAACTCGTACATAACTTTTCTTGAACGAAAATTTGATTGAATATTTTTCTTTAAAATTCATCGATTATGTCAGATATTCTAAAATTCAATGTTCAAATAAAATATCTTTTTATAATATGTTGTATTTGTATGTTTGTACGTGGAATTAATTAAGTTCAAAATTTAATTAATTAACAAAACCTTTCAATTTTCAATATTAAATATCTTGGTGTATTCAAGTCTCCAGTCGTACATATACACTCAAAAAAATGTCTTGCTGATATAGGTAGATTTCTAGGTGTCACAACAAAACTTTATCGCTATTTTTTGTATCTGTTAGAATATTGTCTGTTACATATAGAATTTATAGCAGCAATATTCTAATAATATCTTCTAGAAAATTTAGGTCCCATTGCCAAATGTTAATCACTGCATTGGATAAATATGAGTTTCGATACTACAGCTAAACGATCTTTGTGAGAAATATAATTGCCAATTATAACTGCAGCATCGAAAAATTGAGAAAAATTGTTTAAAAGAGCTAGATAGATTGAGCGCGTTATACAAATATGTTAGACGTGAGGATTATATATTCATTTGTTTCTTGCCGCTAATCTTTTCTGTATACCACAGCCAAACTTTATAACAAGTATGATTGGCCTTAACATGGATAGGCGCCACAGAAAAACATTCTTTCTAAATTTCACAAACAGTTCAGATATAAATTCTGTCTCTGTCACTTAGATTGATTAAATGCGAAACATATGCGATATCACAGTATTTGCTAATCATTTATGTACCTCGGTTAATTTTGCGCACCCAGAAAATTTTTGCTGTAGTTGCAATACCACTTTTTTGAGTGTATAATAAAATACTATTAAATTAAAATTTATTTAAAACTAAATAAAGATTAAAATTTTGCTCCTTTTAAATGTAATTTATGACAATTAATTTTCAATCATTTATATAAAACGTGAAAATAACGTAAAATATAACTCTCGAAGAATTTATTAATATTTTTATTGACAACTTTCTAAGCTGCTCAAAAAACTTTACTCTCGCGTGAGTGTCAGCTTCAGGCCATATTGTACGGAGAAAAAGGATGCAAGAAGAAAAGCGAGACTATCGCTATCTCTCGAAGATATTCCACGGGCATAATGGGACATGCCTCGCCAGTTTTAACGGCCGACGACGGCAACGACGACGCCGGAAGGTCCGTTCGCATATTTCCGTATTCCGCCGGCAATTTTACGTCCAACTTGTACACGACACGCTCACGCCGGGCGCTCCAGGACGCAAATTTCACAAGGGACGGTCAAGGACTCGCTCGAGGGCTTTTACCATTCGGGGTGCGGCCAAACGGCGCCCGCCGAAATTCTCGCTCGAGTCTATGGGGAATTTTGATAATATTCCCGTATGTGCGATTATTTCGCTAGAGTGGAAACGAGACCCTGCCAACGATATTAACTTGGCAATGTGTATCCTATAAGATACGTCTCTATATTTTGAACTCATACACTTGTATGTATATATATCTGTTGTACGAAAAATTATTGAGTTTAGTGCAATAATAGTGTGTTATTTTTTAAGAGCTTACCGGAAAATTTATCTAAAAAATAAGACATTTAAATCAATATTAAAATCGAGCTAATTAAGAGATTCAAAATCAAATTTAAATTTAAATTAAATTTGGATTAAGGAATATTTAAACTTTTTCTCAGAATCTAGGACTGTATAATTCGATAATTCTATATATTTTATTCATCCTACATATTCAAACTTTCGAATAAAGTTATACGTGAGAATCTTAACAATCTCAAGATCGAACAGACTAGCTTCCTATTATCGACAATCGAGCACCTGCGAGTTCTCTTCTTCGTATGAGGATGACGACATAAATGCGAGGTCACGTCGTCGGCTACTAAAAATGACAAAGCACCGAACTTTGACGCGATCTTTCCCTCTACCGTCGTAGATACTCGCAAACTCTCCAGAATAGAGTTTTCCCATGCGTTTGTTACCGGCCGCATGAGTGATAGTCTCCCCCGACCTGCTTCTTCAGCTCTATGTCATCCGCTCCATTAACGCCTTACTTCCAGCTTCCAGTCGGAAGGCGGTATAAAATAAACCGAGGAAGACGTCGGCAAATACGGACTGATTCGGCGCGATTAGCGTAAGAAACTTTCATGCGAATCTTCAGACTATCTTTGTAGTGTTCTATTGTCAACAAATTCGCTCAATTCGAACTAACTTAGGTCGAACAGCTGGAGATGATGTCAATTAAAAATCTTATAAAATCAACAATACTTGACTTATATGATAATATCTTGGTATCAAAAATTAAAATTTCCATGATACACTTTTTGTTCACTTCGAATACGAATTTAGAGCGTTCTAATCTCGAATGCAAAATCACGGATAATCTCGCAAAAATTCTTACAGAGGACAAATCGGTCGGTGCTAAAAGATGGCGAAATTCTCTGGACAATGATCAACGCTCCTTCGGGCTGTGCATCACTCGCGCGACGCTGGCGAAATCCTCGATCCTCATCGACCTTGGCGCTCTTTGCGAAATCCTCCTAGATCCATTCAGAAGCTTAGCTTTTCGGAAAGCGATAGCACATCCACCGTTGCGTTTTCGCTCGCGCTTCGACGCGCCGCCACTCCGGATAATCCCGATGGGAGATACTCGTCGCGGTGGCTGCGCGCGAGCAGGGCAGATAAAAAGACGAGAAAATGGATGAGAGCGACGGTGGTGGCGATGGTGGTGCAAGAAACGACTCGCGGAGGTGGGAAATGGGAAACCTGCATAGAGGCAGAGCACAATACGGCGCAATTTATTAATACTCTGGGACTCGTGTAGCTCGCCCTCTGGAGCAAACGGCG